ACCAGTAGGAACATCAAGGCACTTAACCCCTTTATGCATGGGGCTATAGCCTAAAAAGACACACCGTTTTGAGCGGAAAGCAAGTTTGCGTGTGTTGTAAGGCCTAAGATTGGGCCAACAGGCACAACCAAAAATACGAAGAGATGTATAGTTGGGTGTGACACCAAGAAGTCGTGTAATGGGTGTTTCAAATTTGATAACTTTACTTGGAAGCAAGTTGATGAGATATGTAGCAGTTAAGAATGCTTCATCCCAAAATTTAAGCGGCATGGAAGCATTTGCTAACAAGGCAAGCCCCATATCAACTATGTGACGGTGCTTTCTTTCAGCGGATCCATTTTGTTGGTGAGCATGAGGACAAGATACATGGTGTGATATGCCAAGCTTTTGAAAGAAAGAATTTAGTTTTTCATACTCACCACCCCAGTCACTTTGCATAGCAATGATTTTAGAGTTTAGTTTGCGTTCAACAAGATTTTGGAAATTGAGGAAAACTTGGAATACATCAGATCGCTTTTTCAACAGATAAATCCAAGTAAATTTACTATAATCATCAATAAAACTTACATAATAGGAAAATCTACCAACTGAAATAGGAGCTGGCCCCCATACATCTGAAAAGATAAGTTGTAAAGGGGCAGTAGACACACTAGTAGAAATTGGGTAAGGTAATTGATGACTTTTTGCTTGTTGACACGGATCACAAACTAACTCACTACTAGGCTCATAAGAGAGTTTATTTTTGCTAAGAACATATCTAACTATGACTGAAGATGGATGACCTAAACGACTATGCCACCTTGATGTAGATAGCTTGGTGACAATATTTGCTTGTTTATTGGACCATGAAGATGATGATGATGATATGAGTGGGTAGAGTCCTCCCACGCACCGTCCTCTAAGAATGACTCTCCTTGTTTTCAAGTCCTTAACCAAGAAAAAATAAGGATAGAACTCAATAAGAACATTGTTATCAAGAGTGAATTGATGAACGGAAACAAGATTTTTAGAGGTTTGAGGAACATGCAAGACATTGGTCAAGTGTAAATTTTTCACGGGGGTTTTAACAATTGAACTGCCAATGTGTGTGATATCCATACCAGAACCGCTTGCCGTGCGAATCTGGTCACCTCCATTGTACTTCTCCCGCATCGTCAACTTGTCAAGTTCACCTGTGATGTGGTTTGTTGCTGCACTATCGGCGTACCAGTTGGTGTCCACGCCATAGGAGGCTGCATGCGCTTGCTTTTCTTCCTGGTCGTTTTTTTCATAACGCCACCAGCAAACTCGTGCACCTCCTGGATGGTGTCTGTAGCATATCTGACATTCTGGATAGTCATGCTGTTGCTCACGAGCCTGCTGTTGCTGTTGCTGTCGAGGACGGCCTCTGAATCCGCCGCCTCCATTGGAGGAAGACGACTGTCGGTCACCGCGGTCACCACGATCACCACGGCCACGGCCTCTTCCTCCACGCCCGCGAGATCTGCCACGGGACTGGCCACGGCCTCTGTAGACCGCATTAGCGGATGAATAGAACCCGCCTGAAGATGAGTCGCCTAGCATCTCCATCCTTTGATCAAAGGCAGCAATCTGGGCAAAAAGATCGTCGGCTGTGATGATGTTTTGACAGCGTCGATCGCCGCCACCACGGGGTCGTAGTCGCGGTCCAGTCCGGCCAGAATATAGTCCACCATCTCCGTATCAGATACGGGACGACCTGCAGCAGCTAGTTCATCCCCAAGACTTTTCATCTTCGCCATATACGCCGAGCTTGACATCGAGCCCTTCTTGGTATTGGTGATGGCGATTCTCAGATTAGTAATCCGAGACTGAGATTGTGAGGCGAAGAGATTTGTCACCGTCGTCCAGAGCTCAAAGGTGGAATCTTTCCCAACAACTTGTGCAAGAATTTCTGGAGACATGGAATTGAGAAGGTATGATAGAACCTGCTGATCTTTGGCGATCCAGGGTCCGTATAGGGGATTCGGCTCTAGGGCCGTGGTCTTGTCTGCCTTCGTGATCTCCACCATCTTGGGTGGAGCGGCATCGGTGTTGTCCAGGAGCCCCGTCACCTGCGCGCCTCGCAGGGCTGGGAGGACCTGCATCTTCCAGAGGATGAAATTACCTCTTGCGAGCTTCTCAGACGGCGGCGATCCAAGATTGAGGGAGACGCCGGCGGAGGAAGCCATGAAGACGATGATGTGTGGTTTCTAGGGTTTTGGATTGTGGCTAGATGTATGAGAAGAGGTGGCTCTGATTACCATGAAAGATATGAAGCGTTCCTACTCCATCGAGGGAGCCGCGTGGTAGTTTATATTGATGCGTGGCCGAAGCCTGGCTTGACGTACAAGGTTATGACAGAAAGAGTTTGGGTAGAATACAAGAGAAGGAAGGAGGTTGAGATTACAACTCTATATTCTAACAAGCAGCACATTGTAGTATAGTACTTCCTCCGTCCCATAATATAAAAGCATTTTTGTCATATTATGGGAGGGAGAGAGTATATGCTAGCAGTACTAATTTCTGTTAGCAGTAAGATCGAGCTGTCAGATTAGGGAGACTCATCGTTGACTAATGGAACACTTGTATTGTTGTACGTGAACCGGGGAGATGATCTAGGTTTGACTAATGGCCTAGACGACGATGCTGTCGATAGAATCCCGGCCGTCAATTTTGCAGTTGCACATTTACTAATCTCGCGCTTCACTCCCCTTCTCAGTTCACCGCCACGCTGCACACGTGTAGTAGCTAGCGTGCACGCGCGCCGCGCCAATGGAGGACGCCCGCAGCACGAGGGACAGCCGGAGCCACTCCACGCCGACAATGGAAGCAGCAGGCTCGACGGCGAGCATGAAGCTCTTCGTGGACGCAGGCGCGCGGCGCGTGGTGTTCGCGGAGGCCGGCAAGGACGTGGTCGACTTCCTCTTCTCCCTCCTGGCCCTGCCGCTCGGCCGGGCGGACCGGATGCTCGCCCCGCTCGGCGGCGCGGGCGGCTCCGTCGGCAACCTCTACGCCAGCGTGGAGCGGCTGGACACGGCGCACGTCCAGCCCGGCGCGGCCGACAAGAAGGCGCTCCTCCACCCCACCGTGCTCTCCCCGCCGGCGCGCGTCGAGCACAGCTTCCACCCGCGGAGGGAGCTCTACACGTGCCCCAGTGCCGGTATCTACTGCTTGGAGTGCGCCAGAAACGTGACGGGCGAGAGGGGCACCAGGTGCCCGTCCTGCGGCGACGAGATGACGCTGCAGGCGCGGTACGTGCCGCCGGCGCCCAGGTCCTCATCGACGGATGGCAAAGGCGAGACGGGCGCGGGCGCGCCAGAGGGGTTCGTCCGTGGCGGTGACGCGACGAGGTACATCGTGACGGACGACCTCCAGGTCCGCCCGTCGTCGGCCGGCGAGCTGGTCGCGCTGTGCCCGGCCCTCCGCCCCGCGGATGTCGGGGCGCTCCGGGAGCTCGACGTGCAGCTTGGGTTCAAGGAGGTGGCTTCATTACTACTGTTCAATTCATTCCGTTTCCATTTTCATCTTGGAACTGAACTAGCAATGCAGGTCACGTGTTTGATCTGATGGTGCAACTGCAGGGCAAAGAGATCCTCAAGGCCGTGATGCTGCAGTCCAAGACCGTGCTCACCGACGTTTTCCGAGTAGCCGTACACGACCTCGGCTCGTTCCACGAATTCACATTCGCCGATTGGCTTCCTGCATTACAAGGTATCAGCAGCTGGATGGCAGTAAAATCCACTATATAGCTAGCTAAAACCAAGTTTGGTTTGATTCTGATGGTCATATGTATTGGGTTCTTCCAGGTTTTAATAGCAGTAGAAAGCTCTAGAGACATCTTGCATGTCTAGTACAGTTCAGTACTTAAATGAGCCTCCAGAATCTACTCCAACACTGACAATACACTATCGGAGTCAGATTCAAATTCAAATTCTTGTTCTTTATGCAGCAGCGGAGGAAACTCTTGTAAGAGGAACACAAGGAGAAGCTGTCAGCAGAGCGGGCAGCGTCATGAAACCTAGGAGATGTTCAGAAATGAACTTCTCTCTGTAACAGCCAAGAGTTGTTCCATGTCCGCAGCCACCAGCCCAGCCGACGTCAAGCGAAACCATAGGATCTGAATGAGCCTATGAGTGTGTGTGCGTGTGTGTGTGTCGTTCTGCTGTAACTTGTTTCTGAATCTGTGTCTGGCGTGTGGACTGAGTTGTCGATTTAACTTGCTGCAAGCTGGATGGCAAAGGGCAGAAATGGAAATAGAAAGAAACTGAACTTGGCGCCTCTGTAATCCTGGTTCCTCTGCTTTCCGCGAAGCACTGCCTACCCCTCGCTCGCGTCACGGCGGTCGCCGGCGGCCAATGGCTGTTAGACGTATCAGGCATTACAACTGGTATCAGACGTTCCACGGCGAATCTGGCTGAGCTGCGACTGCGAGCAGGTTGGAGCTCTCCCCGTAGAATCCCTGCTCGTCTTCTTCTCTCCGTAGAACCACAGCCGCCAGTACGATCACCGTCGGGCTGCAGACACCGCAACAATGCAGCTCTCTCCCTAGAGTAGTACGTACTTCCTCCGTTCCAAAATACGTACAAACTCGAGTCACTTATTTTGGAACGGGGGAAGTACAAGATACTGAAGCCCTTTGCTCTAGTGACTTCTTTTGAGCATTATAACTTTTAGAAATAGTGTAGACTGAAAGTGTTCATTATCAAAAAGAAATGCCCATGATTAGATGAAGTGGCAAAGTTCATATAGCAGTTCTACTTCGCAGGACTACAATCGTTTCATGTGGCTGTAGTGGTCGAGCCTTTTTGGGATTTTAACCACGATTGGCACTACTGTGTATGCGTACGAATGATTCGTTGCTAAGACTGCATTATTAGCACTTGACTTTCTTTGGCTCAGTATGTACGTGATTTGCTGTTCTTTCAGCATTCAGATTGTCCCTCGTAGTCTGTTTCTTTGATTCGGTTTACGCCTGAACCAGCAGCCCCGTTCGATGCCCTTCAATCACCCTCCCTTGCGGCTTCCAGGAGCTCATTCCATCTGGTGATCTTCTCCCTGGGCTTGTTCTTCAGCTCGCCGGTCGCCTTCTCTTTGGAATCGATCTTCTCCCAGCCATCGAAGGGCACATAGCGGGCATTCTTTTGTTCTAGAATCTCAAGTAGTCCCCGCCGGCCTTGCCTTTTCGGACCAGATGGGTCGGTGAATACGCCCTTCCTGTCGTCTTCAAGGATGCTAGCCACCTGTCAATCAACTAATATTCAGAACAGTTCCTCAAAGACAAATTTCATTGAGCAGCTTGCTTGGCAACACCATTATAAATCGACAAATTATGTCGTACCTTGATGCTGAATAAGTTTTTTCTGAGTTGGGTGTGAAATAAAATCACACTTCAATGTTTTCAACATTCTGGCCAAATTCCATGATGTACATATTATACGGGGATGAAGCACGAAGCTTCAAACAAACCATAAGCCAAAAACATGCCGGTTTGTGTGCTGGGCAGAAAAAGGGGGGTGTCTAATAAAGCAGCTGTAAGTGTAGCTAAATTATTATATCTACAGCACAGAAATTTGCATGATCACGCTTCATATCGGATGTGCGCCTAGGAATTGTTTGGAAGAAAAGCAGCCAACAAAATACCAAGATATCTTAAGGGCAGTTCCACCATGGTATTATTATTATGATTTAAAGTACATACCGTTTCTTCGGCACAATGGAGATTTGTAGCAACAATCCCAGTTGGTCCTCTCTTCAACCATCCTACCACGTACAGTCCTAGCTCCACCGTGGCAGTCTCTGATTCACTGCACAGAACTCTGCCCCTCAAATTTGGGACAACTCCTGCAACAAATAGAGTGTTAAACAAACATTAAAAGCTTCTTTATGGATTATAAAGGGCTGTAAATAAAAAGGCAATACCACACACCTCTGTATTTGTCGAAGGACAAACCTTCTATTGGCAAGGATTTGTACCCAATACTCTTCAAAACAATTCTAAGAAGAAGATAGATACTTAAGATGGGCCTTAGAAACATAGAGTTAATTGGTCACGTAAAAATTCAAGAAAATATGAGCTAAAGCACTTACCCACATTTTAGTTCTTCAAACTCACCAGTTCCAACTGCCACCTGCTTTCCAGCTGCTCCATCATCTATATAACCAACAAAACTAACTGTCAAAACTTGTACCCAAAACAAATTGCCAAAACTTATACCCAAAAATAATCAAGAATACTCCCTACATCTGACCTTTTAAGAGAGTCTTTTCAAGTTCCACAGCACCAACCGTGGAACCATCATCTGAAGGGAGAAATTTGGTAGGTTTCCTAAAAAACACAAAATGAAGCTCCTTTTGGTCATTATCGTTGTTTTCCTGATGCACGGTAGCAGCTTTCGATAGCAGCTCATACACCCGTCTTTTTATTCTACTATTCCTCATCTCCTCCTGAAATGAGATAACAGATTTCTTTCATCACAAGCGAGAAGACCACATCAGAGAAGGTGGAGGGAACATTCAGAAAGTCGATTTAGCAGCATGTTTGCAAATACCATAGTGACGGACATGTACGAGTAACAAGTTTTACAGCGCTGTGATTTAAATATTAGCAAAGGTTGGTTTGTAACTGTTGCAACCAAGAGCTGCAAACATTTATTGGCCAGTGTCACTCTCAGCACATAACCAAAACGGACAGAATGCTGCTAAATGCTAATTGTCAACTGAATCCCAAGTTCCCAACAGTTTTGAGTGCTGCAACCCTTTTTTATGGGTTCAGTAACACATTCTAGCTAAATAGCTGATCTTATATATACACAAAACACTTCCAATATTTCTTCACTAAAATTAGTTTCCTGATGTTCTAGTGCTCACAGAAAATAAAAGGGAAGTGCATGATTTTTAATGATAAATGGCCATTGCTCACCATCCTTCATCTCTCTGCCCCTCCCCATCCTAGATGTTGCCTAACAGCCCACAGGCACCATGCAATTTCCCTATTGCACCGTCGCCTATGCAGTGGTTTCTCTACCAACATGCTTTGTGCTAAAAGAACTAGGTGCCTCGGTTCCAACAACAAAGTTTTCCCATATTACAAACAACAATTTAGCCAACATGATCATGTGCAAGAATAAGAAGCAGTTTTGAGCAGAATCAGCTCCAGCCAGCCAAAAACTGGCTCTAGCTGCCACCGGTAAAGAGCAACACATTCGGATCCCTAAATTTGTCGATTTTCAGAAACTAGGCTAGTCATGATTCATGGCAAGAAAGCAATAGATGGTGACCTAGTCAGTCACAAAACACAATGTGCAATGCCTGCCATACTTTACTGCACAAACCTTATCCGCAGGCGATGTCGCAAGATCAGCCTCCTTGATGCAAACATTCACATTTTTCAAACCTACATGACGTCAGTTTAAGAATAAGAATGTAGCAAGATTGCACCTTCGTGGTGTGTTGCTTCTAATACAAAATGACACTCATATTGATGTGTGTGTTCAAGAAAAAAATATATTAAGTCTTACACATTTTGTAATTACCCAAAATTTCACGTAATTCCTTTGCTGTGCAAGCTGCCTGTACTGGGCCTCGTCGCCCAACCAAGTAAACTTTCCTTTACATAAACCGCCAAATGCAACACAAGTATTTTATTATCATTCTAACATAAAGAAGAGCTGAAAACAATTGAAAGTCTTCTACCAAAATCAGGGATACCTTATTGTGCTGCTACGGAGAGCATCCAAAGCATAACCAGCAATATCTGTGGAAGCCAACTCGGTTGTACAGCGAAGAAGAATACGGGCAACATCAAGCGCAACATTTCCCTTGATAATAATTAATAGCATGACAAAAAATACACATTACATTGGGCATATGATGGAACACTCATGTTCATGTTCCCGTAGAAGGACATCTCTTTCCAAAAATCTTGTGAAAACGAAAATAAAGCACAATACTCACCCCAGAAGAAGGGTAATAAACACACTAAACTACGAACTTCCTATAACAGCAACAGAGTTATGACAATTCAAACAAGATTTCTCTACCGAAGGAGCTTGAATTGCTTTTACCATTTTACATAGTGACATAGTACTTCAAGATTAAATGAAATAATAGGAATCTCTTGATTTAGAATGAAATTATGGACCAGATGTAGTTCAAGTTAAGAAAAATTGAGGAGTGCGTAACTAAGTTATTGTTGTCAACGCCATAATGTTGATAGTTGATACACTGTTTGAAATTCAAATGGTGATTCCGTTACAAGACCAAAATCATATACCTGTCCAAGGACCACAGCAGAATCTGTGTTTGTCAAGTCAGGTGCCAAGTTGCACATGTCTGGGTGCCCATTATACCACCATACAAACTCTCGAGCAGAATGTATTCCTCTAAGGTCCTATATATATAAAGAAGATATCAAGAATAAACCAACCCACAGAAAACGACAAAGAAAAAAAATCATGCTTACACACTATATGCTACGCCTATAGCACATAATAGCCTGTTCCAGTTGAGTTTGTATTTCCAGTGATACTATTTCATGTGCAATTATTGATAGATGATTAAGCAATGGTGGTTTCTTTATTTTGGTGATAATATCAATATAAGTACCATATGCACTCTACTCTCATGTGGTATACATGATAAATTACTGACGAGGCTAAACAAACAAAGTACCATTAGTGACAAATAAAAGAAAGACTAAATCTAAAATGATGTCCCATCAAAATCTGTGGCATAAAGATTAACTAAGGAAGTAAAAATATGTTATACCTCCCCAGGAATACCAAATGATCTATCGCTTTCTGCACCATAAGCAAGAACGACCTGTTAACCAGTAATACTAAGTCAGCATTATCCAATAATGAACTTCATATAGATATAGCAACAGAAAAAATAGCTACTTGGCAAAAAGGATAGACCAATGGGCATCTACTTACAACATCATATGTCTTTCGAAGCTCTGATAGAGATACATCACTTCCAAGTGTTACATTCCCAAAAAAAGAGCAGCGTGGATTCGCAGCTACACGAGAAAATTGGTTTACCACAATCTGTTGAAAGAACATGGAAAGATTAATCTTCTAAGGGATTTATTTAGTGCTATAGTATGCCAACTGAGAAGGCAGGTAAAATCACGAGGTGATAAAGCAACTTGTACAGATATTGGTTGAACCAATGAATTACTTCTTCAAGATGATGCAAGGAAGTACACCACCTGTCCAACTCTAAAGAAAACATGTTTCTTAATTTCATGCAGTTACGGTAGTGGCTACTGCAGATTAAAATGTATTGCATTTTAGTTTCACAATAAGACCACGCGCGTCCATCTAGTGCGGAGCTTACACTCAACATTCAGGAGGAGGCGCGGCTTTGGGCCAAGGCTGGAGCCACAGGATTTAACAATATTCTCGATGTAGCCTAGTTTCTGTATTGGGGCTGAGCAACCCCCTAGCCCTATGCTCCCTGCTGCTCCCGGCTACGCCTTCTTGTGCACATAGCTTGGGAGTCACAGCTACTATTTTTTCTTCCCTCTCTATCAATGGAACAATATGCTAGCATATTCGCAAGAAAAGATAACAGAATGGAATGCTCACCTTTGTTTCTGGATGATCTGGAGCCACTCCAGAACGAACTAAGCCAAACGGTGTTGGCAACCTGTCAATAATATCGACCTGCACTCCTTCATGACCCTTCAGCATCTGTTTAATCAACAAAAGAACGAATGAACAACAAACAAGGGCGCAGAAAGAATTAAAGTAACTCCTGAAACGAAAACCCTTCGAAAGATATTTAGCCTGAATATGTTCTTTTCCTTCTCCTGTTGCAACATATGCAAGAGAAAACTCCATATGCGTTGCTGTAAAAACATGGTTTCCTTGTTGCAGCAGCAGGTTCCAGCTTTCAGACCACATCTCATTTTACAAGCACTATTAAGCTACACAATTCTACGGCTAATACTGCTCCTTAGCATTTAGATTTTCATAGAACTGAATTCAGGGAAATTTTGCAACTATAGCACGGAAGAAAGCACTGAACCACTATCACAATGAAGCAAAAGCCACGGGATAAGCAAAGAAACCAACCCCCAAAGAGAGGCAAAACCAAGGGAACCAAATGGCCGCACCTTTTCGGCTGTGTAGAACCCGGCAGGGCCACTGCCGACGATGCACACGTGGAGCGGGTCGCGCGAAGAGCCAGCGATGGCAGTGGCGGAGGCAGAGTAGCGCATCGGCCGCAGGAAAAACATAAGCCTCCTCGTGTGGGGAAGAAGAAGCCTGCGGCCCATCTCCGAGCACCCACGTGGTTGGCGAGGCGCCCGTAGAGATTGGAACAGCCGCTGCTCGCGAGTGGCCGATGCAATAGGGATGGTCGCCTGCATAAATGTTGGAAATGTTCATATACAATAGGTGTCGGAGCCAGAAATAAAGCAAACCCCGGGCCAAAAAGTTTTCTCCGGCAACATGATAAATTTTGACACCTATAACTATTCCAAAAATACATCATAACATGCTCAAAAAATACCTCTTGCGCAAACATACGAAATGAAACTCAATTGATCAATAAATCTAAATTTTAAACTTAAGCTTAACGATCCAATAAAATAGATAAAACATGAGAAAACTATTTCTACAATAGGTGTAGACACTCACGGCCACCGGTGAAAAAAATCTCTTAATCTTCTATTTCTACAATATGAAATGAAATTGGCAAATACATCAATTCGAGTTCAACAACCTATATATCATACTGTACATGACTGAATACATACACAAACACAGTTTTGTCAATTAAATTTTAGTCCTAGGCAGTTCACTATACACAGTGAGACAGAGAGTTCCGGGTGAAATAAAATTACCAAGAGGCGTAATCAGAGGAGCGGGATTGCAGGAAAGCAGGCTAGCCGGCGATCTAGTGGGACCAGCGGGCAGCGGCGAGGCAGGCGGGGAACGGCGCGGGGGCGCAGCAGGCCGGCAGCACGGTATGGCAGAAGCCGCGGGCCGGGGAAGCGCACTCGCGCACAGTACCAGGGGAGATGGGGAAGTGGCAGGGGGAGGCCAGGACGGCCGCGGGCGGTAGACGGCGGCCGTCGCCGAGCAGGAAGGCGGCGGCGCGAGCGTGAGAATCGACCGTCGGGTCGCGTGCTTGTGCGTGCTGGTCCACAGGCCAAGCCAACCTTTGGGCCTCCTTTGAGCTGCAAAAATTTACATGCTTGGACCTGGCCTGGGCATTGGGTGCTGGGGCCCAGTGTTCGGAATTCTGGGCCGGCCCAATAAAACGTGACGTGGTTGCTCGCCAGCTCCCGTGCTGGTTCGCTCGGGTTGACTTAAAAAAATAGCAGAAAAAAGTGAAATCAAAGAATGTTCATGGATTTTGGTAAAAAGTTCACGAGTTTGAAAAAATGTTCATAAATTTTTAAAAAAGTTCATTGGACTTAGTAAAAAATTCACAAAATTTTAAAAGTTCATTGATTTTGGAAAAAGTTCATCGAGTTTCAATGAAAATTTCATCATTTTTCAAAAAAGTTTGTTAAATTTGAAAAAAATCGTCAAATTTGAAGAAAAGTTCACTGATTTGAAGAAAAGTTTGCTCGTTTGAAATAAAAGTTCATCGAATTTGAAAAAGGTTGTGCATTTTCGAAAAATGAAAAATAAATAAGAAAAAGGAAAAGAAAATAAAAAGAAAATGAGAGAAACCGAACAAAAAACAGTCTAGAAAAACAACTTAAACGGAAAAAATACGGCTAAGAAGCTTCTGGAAGCTTTCGAAAACCGGAAATAGCTCCATCCCGCTGGAACTAGATGGTTCGGCCCATTTCCGAACGCTTCAGGCACCAGTTAACGGAACGACCCTTAACTAGTGCGGAAGGCGCCGAATAGGGATTGCCCCTCCTATCCCCTACAATAAAGCCCCCCCCCCCAATGGATCAAATATCCCCAAAGTCCAAAACCAGTTATTTAACACCCTCAAATCTGTAAAACAAGATGAATCTCCCCATTGAGTGGTTTTGGACATATTTGAGGTGGTTTTGTCTTTAACACTGACTGGTTATGCTGACGTGGGAGTGGACACTAATTCGCTAAAAAAAACCCAATTCACTGGCCGCCTCCTTGCCTTCGCTCAAGCTCCACCCCTCGTGTCCGACTGTGTCGCGGCTACCAACAACCGACCAACAACGGACATGAGTAGCATAGCCGTCGTGCCTCCCTCCTAAAATCCATATCGAAGTGGTGATTGGTTTTGCGGCGGCGATGCCCTACATGACGTTGGCGCACAAGGCCATGTCGCGATACTTTCGACGCCTCAAGGACGCTATCGTCGCACAACTTCAACACACCAACCAGCTGGTGGGCGAGAAGGACGCCGACACGAGCTCCAGGCTCACCAAGGGGGAAACACCACGGCTCCGCGCCATCGACCAGAGCCTCCGTCAGCAACACGAGGCCCGTTGACCGCCGTCGAGTCGTACCACGTCGATGCCCCGGCTCAGCGTGTCCGTCGTCACACCTCGCCCCACTAGCGTGTGGCTGCTGAAGGAAATATGCCCTAGAGGCAATAATAAAGTTGTTATTTATATTTCCTTATATCATGATAAATGTTTATTATTCATGCTAGAATTGTATTAACCGAAAACTTAGTATATGTGTGAATACATAGACAAACATAGTGTCACTAGTATGCCTCTACTTGACTAGTTCGTTAATCAAAGATGGTTAAGTTTCCTAGCCATATACATGAGTTGTCATTTGATGAACAGGATCACATCATTAGAGAATGATGTGATTGACTTGACCCATCCATTAGCTTAGCACTATGATCGTTTAGTTTATTGCTATTGCTTTCTTCATAACTTATACATGTTCCTATGACTATGAGATTATGAAACTCCCGAATACCGGAGGAACACTTAGTGTGCTATCAAACGTCACAACGTAACTGGGTGATTATAAAGATGCTCTACAGGTGTCTCCGATGGTGTTTGTTGAGTTGGCATATATCGAGATTAGGATTTGTCACTCCGATAGTCGGAGAGGTATCTCTGGGCCCTCTCGGTAATGCACATCACTATAAGCCTTGCAAACAATGTGACTAATAAGTTAGTTGCGGGATGTTGCATTACAGAACGAGTAAAGAGACTTGCGAGTAACGAGATTGAACTAGGTATTGAGATACCGACAATCGAATCTCGGGTAAGTAACATACCGATGACAAAGGGAACAACGTATGTTGTTATGCGGTTCGACCGATAAAGATCTTCGTAGAATATGTAGGAGCCAATATGGTCATCCAGGTTCCGCTATTGGTTATTGACCAGAAAGATGTCTCAGTCATGTCTACATAGTTCTCGAACCCGTAGGGTCCACACGCTTAACGTTCGTTGACGATGTAGTATTATAGGAGCTATGTATGTTGGTGACCGAATGTTGTTCGGAGTACCATATGAGATCACGAACATGACGAGGAACTCCGGAATGGTCCAGATATAAAGATTGATATATGGGATAATAGTGTTTGGTCTCTGGAAGGGTTCCGGAATTCACCGGAAGGGGTTCCGGATGTTTCCCGAAATGTTTGGGTACGAGAACACTTTATTTGGGCCAAAGGGGAAAGCCCACAAGGTTTTTGGAAAGCGCAAAAGGAAGTTTTGCGGAGTCCAAGGTCCAGATGCTAGGGTCCCTGGTGTCTGGGTCCAAACACCGGGAACCCTGGCGTCTGGTCCTGGAGTTCGAGAAGGACTCTTGCCTTTCGGGTGAAACCGACTTTGTGTAGGCTTTAACTCCAAGTTTCGACCCCAGGGCTCAACATATAAAAAGAGGGGTAGTAGCACCCAAGACACATCAAGAAACACCAAGCCATGTGCCGGCAACCCCGTCCCCTCTAGTTTGTCCTCCGTCATAGTTTTCGTAGTGCTTAGGCGAAGCCCTGCGGAGATTGTTATTCACCAACACCGTCACCACGCCGTCGTGCTGCCGGAACTCATCTACTACCTCACCCCTCTTGCTGGATCAAGAAGCGCGAGGATGTCATCGAGCTGAACATGTGCTGAACGCGGAGGTGCCGTACGTTCGGTACTTGATCGGGACGGATCGTGAAGGTGTACGACTACATCAACCGTGTTGATAAATGCTTCCGCTTTCGGTCTATGAGGGTACGTAGACACACTCTCTCCTCTCGTTGCTATGAATCATATAGTAGATATTGAAGGAAATATGCCCTAGAGGCAATAATAAAGTTATTATTTATTTCCTTATATCATGATAAATGTTTATTATTCATGCTAGAATTGTATTAACCGGAAACATAATACATGTGTGAATACATAGACAAACAGAGTGTCACTAGTATGCCTCTACTTGACTAGCTCGTTAATCAAAGATGGTTATGTTTCCTGACCATGGACAAAGAGTTGTTATTTGATTAATGGGATCACATCATTAGGTGAATGATCTGATTGACATGACCCATTCCATTAGCTTAGCACCCGATCGTTTAGTATGTTGCTATTGCTTTCTTCATGACTTATACATGTTCATATGACTATGAGATTATGCAACTCCCGTTTGCCGGAGGAACACTTTGTGTGCTACCAAACGTCACAACGTAACTGGGTGATTATAAAGGTGCTCTACAGGTGTCTCCAAAGGTACATGTTGGGTTGGCGTATTTCGAGATTAGGATTTGTCACTCCGATTGTCGGAGAGGTATCTCTGGGCCCTCTCGGTAATGCACATCACATAAGCCTTGCAAGCATTGCAACTAATGAGTTAGTTGTGACATGATGTATTACGGAACGAGTAAAGAGACTTGCCGGTAACGAGATTGAACTAGGTATTGAGATACCGACGATCGAATCTCGGGCAAGTAACATACCGATGACAAAGGGAACAAACGTATGTTGTTATGCGGTCTGACCGATAAAAGATCTTTGTAGAATATGTAGGAGCCAATATGAGCATCCAGGTTCCGCTATTGGTTATTGACCGGAGACGTGTCTCGGTCATGTCTACATTGTTCTCGAACCCGTAGGGTCCGCACGCTTAAGGTTTCGATGACAGTTATATTATGAGTTTATGCATTTTGATATACTGAAGTTTGTTCGGAGTCCCGGATGTGATCACGGACATGACGAGGAGTCTCAAAATGGTCGAGACATAAAGATTGATATATTGGAAGCCTATATTTGAATACCGGAAGTGTTCCGGGTGAAATCGGGATTTTACCGGAGTACCGGGAGGTTACCGGAACCCCCCGGGAGGTATATGGGCCTTAGTGGGCTTTAGTGGAAGAGAGGAGAGGTGGCCAGGGCTGGGCCGTGCGCCCCTCCCCCTAGTCCGAATAGGACAAGGAGAGGGGGGCGACGCCCCCCCCCCTTCCTTCTCTCTCTCCTCTTTCCCCCTCCCGAATCCTATTCCAACTAGGAAAGGGGGGAATCCTACTCCCGGTGGGAGTAGGACTCCTCCTGGCGCGCTCTCCTCCTGGCCGGCCGCACCCCCTCCTTGATCCTTTATATACGGGGGCAGGGGGCACCCCTAGACGCACAAGTTGATCCACGTGATCATATTCTTAGTCGTGTGCGGTGCCCCCTTCCACCATAGTCCTCGATAATATTGTAGCGGTGCTTAGGCGAAGCCCTGCGACGGTAGTACATCAAGATTGTCACCACACCGTCGTGCTGACAGAACTCTTCCCCGACACTTTGCTGGATCGGAGTCCGGGGATTGTCATTGAGCTGAACGTGTGCTAGAACTCGGAGGTGCCGTAGTTTCGGTGCTTGATCGGTTGGGCCATGAAGACGTACGACTACATCAACCGCGTTGTGCTAACACTTCCGCTGTCGGTCTACAAGGGTACATAGATCACACTCTCCCCTCTCATTGCAATGCATCACCATGATCTTGCGTGTGCGTAGGATTTTTTTTGAAATTACTACGTTCCCCAACAGTGGCATCCGAGCCTAGGTTTTATATGTTGATGTTATATGCACGAGTACAACACAAGTGAGTTGTGGGCGATATAAGTCATACTGCTTACCAGCATGTCATACTTTGGTTCGGCGGTATTGTTGGACGAAGCGGCCCGGACCGACATTACACGTACGCTTACGCGAGACCGGTTCTCCCGACATGCTTTGCACAAAGGTGGCTAGCGGGTGACAGTTTCTCCAACTTTAGTTGAACCGAGTGTGGCTACGCCCGGTCCTTGCGAAGGTTAAAACAGCACCAACTTGACAAACTATCGTTGTGGTTTTGATGCGTAGGTAAGATTGGTTCTTGCTTAAGCCCATAACAGCCACGTAAAAACTTGCAACAACAAAGTAGAGGACGTCTAACTTGTTTTTGCAGGGCATGTTGTGATGTGATATGGTCAAGACATGATGCTAAATTTTATTGTATGAGATGATCATGTTTTGTAACCGAGTTATCAGCAACTGGCAGGAGCCATATGGTTGTCGCTTTATTGTATGCAATGCAATCGCGCTGTAATGCTTTACTTTATCACTAAGCGGTAGCGATAGTCGTGGAAGCATAAGATTGGCGAGACGACAACGATGCTACGATGGAGATCAAGGTGTCGCGCCGGTGATGATGGTGATCATGACGGTGCTTCGAAGATGGAGATCACAAGCACAAGATGATGATGGCCATATCATATCACTTATATTGATTGCATGTGATGTTTATCTTTTATGCATCTTATCTTGCTTTGATTGATGGTAGCATTATAAGATGATCTCTCACTAATTATCAAGAAGTGTTCTCCCTGAGTATGCACCGTTGCGAAAGTTCTTCGTGCTGAGACACCACGTGATGATCGGGTGTGATAGGCTCTACGTTCAAATACAACGGGTGCAAAACAGTTGCACACGCGGAATACTCAGGTTATACTTGACAAGCCAAGCATATACAGATATGGCCTCGGAACACGGAGACCGAAAGGTCGAGCGTGAATCATATAGTAGATATGATTAACATAAGGATGTTCACCAATGAAACTACTCCATCTCACGTGATGATCGGACATGGTTTAATTGATTTGGATCACGTAATCACTTAGAGGATTAGACGGATGTCTATCTAAGTGGGAGTTCTTTAAGTAATATTATTAATTGAACCTAAATTTATCATGAACTTAGTACCTGATAGTATCTTGCTTATTTATGTTTGATTGTAGATAGATGGCCCGTGCTGTTGTTCCGTTGAATTTTAATGCGTTCCTTGAGAAAGCAAAGTTGAAAGATGATGGTAGCAATTACACGGACTGGGTCCGTAACTTGAGGATTATCCTCATTGCTGCACAGAAGAATTACGTCCTGGAAGCACCGCTGGGTGCCAGGCCTGCTGCTGGAGCAACACCAGATGTTATGAATGTCTGGCAGAGCAAAGCTGATGACTACTCGATAGTTCAGTGTGCCAT